CCCCCCTTCCACAACCCAAAGACCCAACAAAAACCGAACCCAGGCTTCCGTTCTGCAGTCCCGGGCACAGCTCGCATCGACCGTGCAGGTGCACATGATGCCTAGCATGGAATCTCGGCCCCGGAAGTTTTTTTTGGAGGGCTTAACAGGACGCCCTGAGTGCCTACCCCTACCTTAAAGGAGTCTCCTGTATAGACAGAAAGGGTTGGTTGGGTTGGGGCTACAGTAGAGGGTAGTTGGGAAGTCTAGGTAGGATTGAGGGCTGAAAAGGCATTCCTAATTTTCAGGGTGTAGGTTGGTTTTGCACTTGGTTTGGGGTTCGGGACCTCTAAACTTAACCCCTAAACCCTAAATCAACCCTTCAATCTTGATTTGGGGTTCGGGACCTCTACACCCTAAACCCTAAATCAACCCTTCAATGCCTCCCTGCTCGGACCGAGGAGGGTATGGGCCAGGTGATGAAGATCCTCGCACTCTGTGCCGTGCTAGGACCCGGGGTACAAGGGCCTCGGGTTTGAAAGTTAGAGGTCGTTTTGTGGGGTTTAGGGCCCATGGCCTTGAGGTCAAGTCTTGGACTTCAAGGCTTGAGAGTGTTCAGTGAAGTTCAGGGTTTCAGGGTCTAAAAGTTTGGGAAAGTTTAGGGTTTAGGGTTTAGGGTTTAGGGTTTAGGGTTTAGGGTTTAGGGTTTAGGGTTTAGGGTTTAGGGTTTAGGGTTCTAGCCGGGGGATGTTGTCAAACTGTTATATAATGGCTTTCGGGTCCGGCCTCTTCGATGTTGGCAATCGGGAAACTGGAGCGACTGCCGCCTTCAAGACTTGTGCGCCTGTGGGCGCTTTAGGTTTACTTGGAGTGGTTATAACCAAACCTAAACCCTAAACCCTACACCCATAGCCCTAGCTGCTAAGTCCCATAATCCTCCCGGTACGGTATACCCGGAGGTCTTGGTCCTTGGGCCACAAGTCGGGGTTGGTACAGGAGTCGGCTTGTGGGCTGAGGCTCAGGTTTAGAGCTTTGAACCAGGCTTCGGGTCCGACGCTCCGGCGCCAGAAGCCCAGACCCCCAAAAGAGGAGATGAGGGAACCGAAAGCCTAAACCCTACACTCTACAGCCTCTAAGCCTCAAAGCAATGCCTTCCGAAGGAATCGTCTACAAGATGGTCAGCGGCGTGTGCCTTGCCGTGGGGTTGGGCTCATCCGCGATTCAAGGCTTTCTGCAGCAACTGACTTGCTGGAGCCCCGAATGTCGAATGCGAAATCCCGGATCCAAATCCTTTCATCGAACATGCAATTACGGTTGTTTTTCATCTCGGGACCACGGTTTTTAGGGTTGGACCCCAAGCTGCGCATCTTCTTTACCAGCCAAGACCAGGTGCGCCTCGCGCAAGTGCGACTGCCGAAGGCCTCCGGGGGCAAGGGTCACAAGCGCTTCAATCGAGTTAGCTCTTCTTCTACATCAACCTCAGGCTCCACTAAACCTTACTCCAAGACGATATGCTGAGCTCCTCCATCCAGAATTCCTTTCCCCGGAACCCAGGATTCATCAGCGCTGCGTTTTGAGACTTGATGGCGTGAGTTAGGAGCCTCATGGCTCTTCGTTAGTCTTCACACGGGTGTTTTTAAGTCAGAACGTCCGCAAGACCCCTTTCTGAACCTGCACTCCGAAGTCCCTATGCTGAGTGTTTCGGTGCGGACAGTCAGGCTGAGGGCTGTGGTGAACTTGGGAGCTTCTGGCGCTGCATGCTTGGTTCGGGTTTGCGATTGCAGGGTTCAGCTGTTCAAGGTTTCGGCAGCTTCGAGGTTAGAGGTTCAGGAGGCGTCGAGGTTCAAGGGTTTGGGTTGGTTTCAGGTTCTGGGATTGGCTGCAAGGAACCTGGTCACAGGGCTCAGAAAAAGGCGGTGCATAGGCCCGAAGGTCCCAAAGAGCTTTCCTTCGGCATGCATCGGTGGCCGGCAAGCGCCCTCCAGCGTAGCAGGGGCTACGCTCGGAGGGGTGGTTGCCTCATTTCAGGGCCCCTCATCGCTCTCCTCCTCCTTGTCCCTGCGCCTGTTCTGAACCTCCCGCCTCCTTCCTGGTGGCGTCGGGGCTTCCCACGGAAGCGATACGACAGCTTTGCTGAGGTGGAGTTGCTATCACAGCTCGGTGCACTGCTCCGTCCGGAGATGCCCTTGGAGGAGATGTTTCGAAGCTTCCCTGGGAAAGACCTGCCTGACTGGAGAGGCCACCACTTGAGCCCCGACCTCGCGCTTTGGGGTGTGTTGGAGAATCGGGAGGCCGCGCTGTTCGTCGAATACGACGGTTTCTACCGTCATTTTGAGCCTGGAGGTGTGGACGCAGACAGGTGTAAGACTAGAGCGCTGCTGGCCTATGCGCCGGCCGGTTCTCGAGTATTGCGTTTGAGCCATGAGGAAAGGGAGCTTAGCGACGAGTCTCACTCCCTGGCGATATCTCGGTGGTGGCCCAAGCATAAGAAATCCCTCACGGCATCGCTGCTGGAGGTCGTGCGGTTTTTGCTGTGCAAGCCATCTTTTGGGCTCCATCCGGATCGGGCCGGGGACCTACAGAGCTGCCTCCGCGAAGGCCTCCGGCTGTCGGAGACAGCGTCGTTATTTTCATGCACTGCTACACTTGCGAGTGATCCTAGTGCCAAGCGAGCAGAACTGCAGGCTTTCCTGGTGTCAGTGGGCTTGAGTGACGGCGAGGTTGCCAAGGCAGTTTCCAGACTTCCTCAGCTTCTTGGTCTCAGCATCGGAGAGAATCTGCAGCCGACCGTGGGTTGGTTGCAAGGCTTGGGCTTGAGTAATGGCGAGGTTGCCAAGGCCGTCTCCAGATGTCCTCAGCTTCTTGGTCTCAGCATCGCAGAGAATCTGCAGCCGACCGTGGATTGGCTGAAAGGCTTGGGCTTGAGTGACGGCGAGGTTGCCAAGGCCGTCTCCAGATGTCCTCAGCTTCTTGGTTACAGCATCGCAGAGAATCTGCAGCCGACAGTGGATTGGCTGAAAGGCTTGGGCTTGAGTGACGGCGAGGTTGCCAAGGCCGTTTCCAGACATCCTAGTCTTCTTGGTTACAGCATCGCAGAGAATCTGCAGCCGACCGTGGATTGGTTGCAAGGCTTGGGCTTGAGTGACGGCGAGGTTGCCAAGGCCGTCTCCAGATGTCCCAGGCTTCTTGGTTGCAGCATCGCAGAGAATCTGCAGCCGACCGTGGATTGGTTGCAAGGCTTGGGCTTGAGTGACGGCGAGGTTGCCAAGGCCGTCTCCAGATGTCCTCAGCTTCTTGGTTACAGCATCGCAGAGAATCTGCAGCCGACCGTGGATTGGTTGCAAGGCTTGGGCTTGAGTGACGGCGAGGTTGCCAAGGCCGTCTCCAGATGTCCTCAGCTTCTTGGTTACAGCATCGCAGAGAATCTGCAGCCGACCGTGGATTGGCTGAAAGGCTTGGGCTTGAGTGACGGCGAGGTTGCCAAGGCAGTTTCCAGACTTCCTCAGCTTCTTGGTCTCAGCATCGGAGAGAATCTGCAGCCGACCGTGGATTGGTTGCAAGGCTTGGGCTTGAGTGACGGCGAGGTTGCCAAGGCCGTCTCCAGATGTCCTCAGCTTCTTGGTTACAGCATCGCAGAGAATCTGCAGCCGACAGTGGATTGGCTGAAAGGCTTGGGCTTGAGTGACGGCGAGGTTGCCAAGGCCGTTTCCAGACATCCCAGTCTTCTTGGTTACAGCATCGCAGAGAATCTGCAGCCGACCGTGGATTGGTTGCAAGGCTTGGGCTTGAGTGACGGCGAGGTTGCCAAGGCCGTCTCCAGATGTCCTCAGCTTCTTGGTTACAGCATCGCAGAGAATCTGCAGCCGACAGTGGATTGGCTGAAAGGCTTGGGCTTGAGTGACGGCGAGGTTGCCAAGGCCGTTTCCAGACATCCCAGTCTTCTTGGTTACAGCATCGGGGAGAATCTGCAGCCGACCGTGGATTGGTTGCAAGGCTTGGGCTTGAGTGGCGGCGAGGTTGCCAAGGTTGTTTCGGCATATCCCCAGAGCCTTGGCTGCGGCAGCGTCGCAGTCAGCTTGGAGCCAATGGTGGACTGGTTCGTTTGCATGGGTGCGGACAGATCGGACATCAGGCATCTAGTTGTTCGTTTTCCGATCATCATGTACCTCAGTCTGGCCAAAAATTTGAAGCCTAAGACGCAGCTTCTGCTGCAATACTTCTCGCCCGAGGAGGCCTTATCGCTCCTCGTGGCAGATCCCCGCATCTTCAGTTATAGTGCCTTGCGTTTGTGCGAGCGCCTGGCTGTGCTCGCCAGCAGCGGACAGCTGGCAAAGTTCTCTGCTGTGCTGCGCATGACGGAGTCACGATTCGAATCCAGCTATGGGATGCAAACTGAAAATGCTAGCCTGGCCTGCACGGCCTAATGTTCCATTCTCTCAAGCCCGGAACCCACTCTGCTGCAGGTTCAAGATCATCGCACAGTGTCTGCTGGCCTGGGGTTGGGATGAGCAGCATGGCTTGGCATGTAAAGGATGCTTCTTCCACTGCACTGCCTCAACATCGGATCCCTTTCATGATGAAACTACTTAATATAGGGGCCGAAAGAATTACTTACAAGTATAGTATAATGGGCCCCAAAACCCTATTCTAATTAGTACTATAGAATCCTACTATAGATCCCTTATAGACCCCTTTAAAAGGAACCTTTAAAGGAACCCTATTCTAATTGCTAAGGCCCCCCATATTACATCCCAAACGGTCGCTTGTTGCCCGTCTCCCCAAGCCCAGGCCCCTGGACCCACCGACACCATTTTCACAGGTTTTGGGGTTTAGGGTTTAGACAGTGGCATGATGTGCATCCGAGGTTTGAGACCTTCGAAGTCTTGATGAGCGTGCACAGTGTGCAGGACTGGGGTCTGCGGGTTGACTTAGGGTTTAGGATTTTGGGTTCCGTTTGGCGATTCAGGCTTTATTATGACTTCGATCCTCTAGAGACGTCGGGGGGTTCCGAATGGGGTCCGATGCCCAAAGCGAACGTTGCTGGCCTGGCTGCTCAAGGCCTCAAGACTTCCGAGCATGTATGGCTCCCCCCCTACCCACGAAGTCGAAGGCTGATTCGTCAGATTAAGAAACCTAGTTGGAATCTCATGTTCTACATCCGAGGGGTATCTGAAAAGCCTTGAAGCCGAAATCCCTCAGCACCCCAGCCCCGGACCCTAAATCTAGAACCCTGCCGATTGTTTGCAGGACATCCAGAACGACGGCCTGCTGCTTGACCTCGCAATCAGTTAGAGAGCTGCATCGTGTGCTTAAGCACCGCAGGTGTTAGGGTTGGAGAACCCAAACCCGAGACCAACCCGCAACCCACACCCTAAATCCTGGGCCCCGGCCCCAAACCCCAAGCTCTAAGCTCTAGGCCACAAGCCCGAGTCCCAAGCCACCCCTCAACAGCACGAGTTTTCAAGGTTCGGCAAGAAGGAGTTCAAGGTGAAGGTGCGGAGATGGGGATAAAGGGAGGCCCCAGAAGTTACCCGTGGCACCAAGACTCCTTCAGCGAGGGTTTTGTTCCTTAATCTGCAGAGTAGTCCTTTTCAGAGGAAGGAGTTCAGGGATAGGGCTCTCAGGGTACGCTCCCATTGAGCTGCTCCCAGCAGAGGGCACTTCAAGGCTCTTACGAGGCTTCTTCGGATCTTGACAAACAGTGTCGGAATAGGCCCCTCTTCAGGATGATTCGCTGAGTCTGCATCTCGGGAGTAAAGACCTGCACAGGGAATCATGACTTTTAGCCTTGCCCCAAGTCCGGAATATCCCCCAAAACTTACACCTCGAGCTTGCAAGCACGGATAGATAGCCAGATAGAGCCTCACTGCAGATCCAAAACCCTGAACGCCAGAATCTAAGCCATCCCAGATTTAGGGTGTGAGCCCCGCGCCCAAGCTATCCAAATTGGTTTGGAGATTTGGTCTTCAGCATCTTGGGTTTCGGCAAGAGGACTAAAGGCGATCTAATGCACCACATCCCAAACATTGAAGTTTCAGCCCGACTTTCGCACCCCGAAGCCTTAGCCTGAACCCCGACAGACCCTGAAGCCTAAGCACTCAACCTAAACGCTTGGGCAGGCGAGCTTCAACTGGAGCAACACGGAGACCTCGGGGACCCAGGACAGCCTCAATGCAGCGCACAATTTGAAGCAGCTTCCGGCCGTTGAAGGCGTGCTGATGAAGTCAGACAGATCTCCAACCTCTTCGTCTAGCTTCGGCTTGTGCGCGGCTGATGCTGTTCATGTGGAATTGCCTCCAACATCCGGTAGCTTGCGCAGGACATGCGCTGGGAGCAGACGAAGAAGCTTGCGACTCTTCTGCAGACTCTGGGTTTCAAGGCCAACCCTGATGGACCGTCCTAAACCCCAAGTCCGAATAAAGAAGCCCTTGACCCCCAACGCAAAAACCTCTAAAGTCCGGACCCAGTTCTACTTGCACTAGTCGCAGCCGCACTCGAAAAGTCCCCCTCCCCCCCCTCCCCCCGCCCGGTAAGTCCCAAAACCCTCGGCCCCCCTAAAATCCCGAAGCTCCGAGCCCTACATGCTCACATCCCTAAGCCCACAACCTGCAACGTCAGAAGACAGAAATGCACCCTCTTCGAGGAGATACCCCAAGGCGCTGCCGAAGGGATTATCAGCCTCTGGTCACTGGGAACCATCAAGGACGACCCTAGGCCCTAAAGCCTAAACCGGGCCGGGACTTGTATGGTTGAGGGTTCGAGTTCGTAGCCCTGAGGTTTCAGGCCGAAGGTCGTGGGGTGGAAGACTCGAGGCCTAGGAGTGTGTTCGGAGTTGACTGGTTGTGGCCTGGGCCTGTCACAGGCTTCCCTAAACCCTAAACTCCAAACATGGGCTTAAGGCCAGTGTAGGGCTTTGCAGGTGAGGTTTAGGATTCTTTGTTGTGGTCTAGGCGCGGCCAGACCCAGAACCTCCCAGAGGCTTCACAGCTCCCCCGAATCTCAAACCTGAAACTCAGCCTCAAACGCAGAGGGCCCGTGGCATGAAACCCTCAGGCTTGACTCGTTTGTGGCGCTGAAGCCCTCAGCGTCCCTTTCACTTCATGCCGTGTTGAGGGGTCTCACTGTACCCACATTCCCCCAGAGCCAAACCCAAAGTCATCGTTTTGCGCCCTACGCCTAACAACCGCTTTACAGAATGCAGAAGCCCCGATTAAACCTGCCAAAATCTAGTAGAAAACCCTTCACCCCAAGTGTCTCATCCTGCAAAACCTTCTCAACCGTCAAGTTAATCAAGAAATTGATCCCAAAGCCCTAAATCCTTCCGTGCCCGATACATGTCCCGTAAGGAACCCTCATCCGCAAAACCCTAAAGCCGAACCCCCGCAGGACTCGAAGGTGGCATCCTACTCCTTGGACACGAAGAAGGCCTCGCCACTGGAAGCAGTGCGAACCTGCGTCTAGCATACCTGACCCAAAACCGTATTCTAATTACTACTTGGAGGGTCGGGGGACTTAGTAAGTAGGTAGTAAGTAGACTTAATAACCAGTTACTAAGTCCCCCGACCCTCCAAGTATCAGGCTTTTGTGCACGGCTTTGAGGGTTTATTGGGGCTTGGGGTCCCACTGGACGGCAAACCTCTCCTCAAAACCCTGACCCCTAAACTTCCCTGAGCCCATCCAAGCCGCCAAATCCCAAGCCCCGCACCCCGAAACCCCAAGCCGCCCATGCAGGACATGCTGGACAAGGCAGAGTCCTTCTTCGGGAAGAAGCAGAAGCTCAAGCTTCAGTACAAGGGGAAGACAGCCACCCGCCTCAGAGTACTTAAAGGATCATGGGGCTTAGTAAATAGCGTTATATATAAGGTAACTATACTTATAGTTACTTATAACCCCTATTGGGGTACTTATAACCTTACTTACTAAGTCCCCTGATCCTCAGAGTAGGGTGTAGAGGGTTTCGGAGGGTTTGAACGGCTTGGTAAGGGTTTGGGGCATAAGGGAGTTTAGGGATTAAGGGTTTCGGGATTAAGTCTTGATCGGGGTTTACAGGTTAGGGTTTCGGCATTCGGTGCAGAAGACTCAGGGATTCCCACATCCCTCAAGGAAGGAACAGTCCTGTAAAGTAGACGTGGTTATCCTTGGTAAGGGGTCCTGCGTGAAGTGATATTGAAGTATCTGCGTTACGGAAACACGCAACATCAGTGCCTGAGCAAAACCGATATCCGAGCTGCAAGTCACAAGGAGAGTTCCGGGTCGTCGTCGGGCTCCAAGAAGAGGGCTTGCCGCGAGCTTGCCGTCGGCCTCTCGCCGGAAAGCGACCCCTCGCCTAGCGCAGCAAGAACCCAGGAGTCGGCCGCGTTCAAGAGCTGGCCAGTCGAAGAAATCCGAACCACGATCCGAGAGGTCGACGAGGGCCTTCGCAACTATCAGAACAAGACGAAGCGGCTGAGCCTCGACGCGCTCGTCGCGCTGCTCGATAACCTGTCGCCGGAGATCTTGGAGCTGGCGACGATGACCGCGACGCTCGGGCACCTGAAGACGATGCAGAAGCTGCCCCGTCAGGCGGCTGTGAAAGAGATTCTGGAGAAGATCCAGGGCGTGGCGCGCCGTGCCTTGGAGGTGCACGAGCAGCCGCCGATGGAGACGAAGGCGCTCCTCATGACTGTGCACCGCGTCGGGGGCGTGGCTGCAGACGGCCGCGCCGTGGTCCGCGAGGGTGATCCCGTCGACGAGCTGGAGATCGAGGACGGGAACGAGACAGTGGCCGAAGCCGTGGCCCGCTTGATGGCGGCGCAGGGGAGCGAAGCAGACCTGCCGAACTGGACCGTCAAGGCCATGGACGAAGACAAAGTGATCCGCGAAATCTCGCCCGACACCACGCCGGCCAGCAGCTGCCTCCATGTTGTCCTCCTCCGCAGGGGCGGCTAGATCTCTGAAGGAAGCTCTGCCTGGCAGCTTGTAGACTCAGAGTAGATCTGCTGTCAAATCATGACGGGCCGAGAGGTACAGCGCCCGATAACCTCGTTGACGTCGAGGATAGAACAGACTCGTCCAAGGGGTATAGATGGCACTTGCATCAGGGCATCCGGCAAAAAGCAGAGCGTGCTACTGGCAGAGGGATTGTGCAAAGTTAGAGGTACACGATAGCCGAAGCCCTGCGAGTGTTGCGAAACGAACTATCGAACTGTGCGATCAGCGAGGATATCCGCATCCCTCGGAACTCGCACCTGCAGCCATCTGTCAGTGTTTGCAGGGTAGCCAGCGAGCTTCGGTAGCTTGTATCTATAGCCGAGCATACCCATGTCGCGTCGGCTGACTCGTTTCGATGTCTGCGCAGGCTGGGGTGGAGTCTGCCCGTGGAAGCAGGCCAACGGCTTGCCCCTCGACGCAAAAGGGGCGTGCCCCCTGTGCCACGCGGAGCGTCTGCAGCACGAGCTGGGCGTGCGGCGCGGGCAAGACCTCACCTCCGCGCTGCACCGCATCAAAGAAGCATCCGAGGAGACTTACACGCTGGCCTTGGAACGCCTGGACCGCTTCGCGAGCGCCGACGTCATGGAGGACTTCAAGGAGCGGGTTACCCGAGCGATGCACCGGAGGACATTGGCAGCAGCCGCGCCGAAGAAGCGGCCGGCCGCGGCGGCGCCAAAGGCCACGCGGATGACCGTGCACCGTGTCGGGGGCGTGTCTGCAGACGGCCGCGCCGTGGTCCGCGAGGGCGATCCCGCCGACGAACTGGAAATCGAAGACGAGAACGAGACTGTCGCCGAAGCCGTGGCCCGCCTGATGACGGCGCAAGGGAGCGAAGCAGACCTCCCCAACTGGACTGTTTAGGCTATGGACGAAGACCAGGTCATCCGCGAGATTTCGCCCGACACCACGCCGGCCAGCGGCTGCCCTCGGATCGTCCTCGTGCGCAGGGGCGGCTAAATCTGTGAAGTGAACTGCCGGGGTCTCACAGTAGCACGATCTGTCAAAAGAGTCGATGCCTGGCAGTGTTTTTGAATGACGAGGATAGGAACAGCCTTGAAGGCCAAAAGGCGACCTAGAGTGCCATCGCGGAGAAAACAAAGCGGAACTAGCAGGCGCCTGGCAGTGCCACATGGAAGACATAAAGAGAGGCTAGGTAGAGACACATTCGCAGCTGTCGCACGCGTCGCGTCTTCGACAGAGAGAAACTAGCGCACAGCAAATCGTGTTGTAGATTGTAGCCGGCCTTGAAGCCATGGGCCGTAAGTGCCTCGGTGGAGATAATGGCCCGTGCATCTTCAGCAAGCACGGCGCGGCCTGCCAAGTGCAGCCGAACCAGACCAGGCCAGGGCCAAAACACACACGTTGGGTTCTCTCTGGTTAAAGCGTGACTGAACAATCCCATGTGAACCTGTGTAGACAGGTGCTGCTGGTGCGATGCTGAGCAGCTTCGGAGAGCCTCCAACACGGGTTGCGGGCGTGGACGCCTCCGACAGCTTCTGCGCAACATGCCCGCGGAGTCGAAGAAGACGGCCCTGTTTAGGGTTTAGGGTTAGGGTTTAGGGTTTAGGGTTAGGGTTTAGGGTTTAGGGTTTAGGGAATGCCGAGGCCCGATTGCCTTCCAGGCTTACAGCAGGGCCTGGAGCATTGGTAAAACCTTTGCAGCCTCGTAATCCTTCTATACTTCTATTGGGCTTAGTTTAGATCTTGAGGCACCCGCAATTACGCCTAAATACCCCGAGCGTGCGTCTGCAAAGCATAGCCATCATCCAGGTTGGAACTTTGCTGATCACCTTCAGGCCAGCTTGTGCTGATTGTTTTGGGTTTAGGGTTTAGGGTCTCGGTTTTGCTAAGTATTCAACATCATTCTTTTTTCTGGGTTATGGGCCTTCTGTGCTGAGGAGGGATTCTGCCTTTCTGACATTTGCTGCAGCTAAGTACTGGCTGCGCAGGGATGCTGCAGTCAGCTCGGTTCTTATAGGCAGAACCACGCGTGTGATCAAGAAAGTGGGGGTTTCCGAAAATTGGGGGTACCTTATTGGGGTCCTTGTAATAAGGATCTTACTATTTAGGGTACCATATTAGGGTCCCCTATTTTCGGAAACTCCCAAGTGGGTGCTGGGCCTGCAGGGCCCGCACAGTGTAGGAGGTCGCTCTTGGCCGAATTTCCACCTGCTTCTGCGCATCCCGCTTTCCAGCCCTGCGTTGGAGAACAGCACCTGAGTACCAGCAATCGATCACATGTACCCTGGACCCGGAAAGCTTAAACCTAGGTTCTTACTTAATTCAAGTTGCCATGATAATTAGAGATACGAGGTAGGTCCAGGTAGGTAACGTGATTTCCTTGCAATGGCAGCTTAAGTCCAGTTCGTAACACCACCTACTTGGAGGATCATGGGACTTAGTAATTGGGGTTATAAGTAAGGTAACTATAGTTATAATTACTTATAACCCCAATTAGGGTACTTATAACCTTACTTACTAAGTCCCATGATCCTCCAAGTAGGACCTTTCCCCTGCAGGAAGCGAGGAAAAGGCGAGGGCGACATTGGGGACTGCCCAATCGAAGGCTCCCCGGCGCAGCACTTCAGGTCTCGGTTCTCAAGGTTCTGTGCTGTTGGTGGTATCAGGGCTTGCGGGATGTTGTAGGGGTTTTATACAAGGTGGCCAGGTTCCCCGAGTGCCCTTTTTGATTGTTTCGGTTTTGACGTGCCTGGCTATAGTTGAGCAGTAAATGCAGAGCTTTTCTCATTTCTCTTGAAGAGGATTGTCTTGGAAGTTTAGTGTACCGGAACGTGCTTCTGGCATACTTCATTGCTGCAGAGCTTTGCAGGGTGTTGGGCTTTCGTTCAGGCTGAGCTTCTCCTCCAATCCGTACCGATAAGGGTTTATGTTTTAAAACATTAAGGTTTAGGGTTTGGCTGGCTCTAGGCATTATGCTTCAGGGTTTAGGGTTCAGGGTTGTTTCGGAAGTTGAGGGTCGATCTTTGCCCCGCCGGGTTTGTCTTTACCTCAGCTGGCCCAGAATATTCAGCTTTTCTGTCTTGGTCGGGGGGAGTAGGGTTTATTTGGGACAGAGGAGAGTCTCGTTTTTGTTGAGCTCTGGGGCCTAATGCTTTCACGTGCTGAGCTTGCAAGGTATTGACGAGGATTCGCCGTTGCTGATTGACATCAACAACGCCATCCAGGCCAGGATAATGCCCAAGCATCGGGGTCGGTAAGTAGGTTATACAGGAAGTGTCGGTTTATGTTGCTTTGGTGAGTGTATGCATGGTTCTGGTTTGAACATCTGCTGCGAGAGTACGTGTGTGCAGGGTTCTTTTGTGGGTGACAGCTGCTGCTGGCCCTACACCTTACTTGGACAAAGAGCCCGCAGGAGATGTTTCATTCGGTACGAGCCGGTAAGGGACCTCCGTGCCGCGACTTTGCCTCTCTTGTTTACTTAGAGCAACTCTTTGTGGTTTGTCAAGCCGATGAAGGCATTGCGGTTGCAATGTCCAGCACAAGGAGGGGCCCAACAACGAACACACAACACAGCATATTCGAGCGAAGATAAACCCTAAAAGCACTGCTTGAACAATCCGGGAACCAATTAAGTAGGTAACTGAATGGGATAGAAGTTAAAACTATCCTACAGGGGGTTCTTCCAAATTTTACAATCTTTGTTACCTACTTCCTAAGTCCCCTGGTCCTTTGCCCAGCCCTGCGCTTGCTTCCAGGAGATGGTCAAGAAGAAGGAGCTCCAGCCATTGCAAAAAGGCGAGAAGCCCCCTGGCGTGCTGAGATCACCGTGGCTCAGTTTTGTAAACCCTAAACCCTATAAACTTCTTCTTCTGCAGCATTGAAGGAATCCGAAACCCTATCAAGCCCAAATCCTGAACCACTACACCCAACGCTCTTGGTCTAAGAGGTCTGGCCCTAAACCCCGCGTCTCCTCAGGCGTTCCATTCTCAACCGTTTCAACCAGCCCCTACACCGTAGCCTTTCTGCTTCAGCTTGCCTGAACCCCGAAAAATCCAACATTCCTTGTTAAGGTTCATTTCCTGACAATGGTAGGTCCAGAGTCCAGATAAGCCACTACTGGGTTGTCCTTTGGGATCTTTTTTAAATTCCCCTACTGTTTTGTAGAGAACCATAATAATAGTAAATAATCTTCAAAGGGCTTAAAGGACAACTCAGATTAACACTAAACCCGGAGAAGGTTGGTTTGCGATCAACCTGAAGTCCAAGCGCCCCCCCCACCAAGCGGTTTAGGTCTCGGATCACCTCTGAACCCCTTAAGACTCTTAAAAAGGGGCTGACAGAAATGATTGCTAGTGCAATCCCTTGTACTGGTTATACTATACTATACTATGCTGCAGTTTACCCCCAAACCCCGCTCTGATTGTTAAGGCCCCTCAACCCTAAACGCAAAACCCTACACACGAATCGCTAAACCCTAAGCCCAGGTCTAATAATTTGAGGCGCCTGTACTAAGCCCAGGTTGGATGGTGAGCGCAAGATCGCCGTGCTGGCCAAAACCCTTCAGGCTCCAAGTGAGGTGTTTTAGGGTTTAGGGGTTTTTAGGGTTTGGGGTTTGGTGTTTAGGGTTTAGGGTTTGGGGTTTAGGGTTTGGGGTTAAGGGTTTGTTGTTTAGGGTTTAGGTTTTAGGGTTTAGGGTTTGGGGTTTAGGGTTTGGGGTTTAGGGTTTGGGGTTAAGGGTTTGGGGTTTAGGGTTCGTGGTCGTGTGTTTTGGGGATCGGAGTTTAAGTATTGAGGTGTGAGGTTTATTCTTTGGTTTAGGGTTTGCATTTTGGGATTTGGGATAGGAACAGAGGGCCCCTCCATGGCCTCCGGAAGTTCAGCACGACCGTATGGGGATGCTAAAGACCTGCCAACCTTGGTTAGCACCCTCTACTCCGTCGACATTGAACCCTAAGCCCCTAGACCCCCAAACCGTAAATCCTAAACCCTAAGCCCTCAACCCTGAACCCCAAAGCCTAAACCCCAACCCATCGTCCTTGAGCCCCAGTCCTGATCCGCGACGCTTCAGCTCCAAGCGCAAAGCACCGCAGAAGCCCAGGGCGATCTCCGCGAGATCGACTTAGAGGGCAAAGAGAAGGGCAAGGCCCCCCGGGGGAGAGGAATTGAACGAGTTTTGTTTGGGGTTTGATGGCTTGGGGCTTTAGGGTCTTCAGGGTTTTGGGGTTTTGGGCTTAGTTTTTTTTTTTTTGTTTAGGGTTTTGGGTTCGGGTTTTTCATTATTTTTTGAAGCTCTTGCCTTCAGAGTCGGGCAGGAGAAGCTCCCACAGCTTCGTCTCTTAAGCCAAGGGATCTCACGAACCTCGAGGACCCGAACAGGAACCCTCAAAGATCCCTTAAAGGAGCCCTTATAGATCCCTTAAAGGAACCCTTGTAGATCCCTTAAAGGAGTCCTTATAGATCCCTTACAGGAACCCTTGTAGATCCCTTAAAGGAGCCCTTATAAATCCCTTCAAGGAACCCTTGTAGATCCCTTTAAAGGAACCCTTAGGGATCCCTTTAAAGGAACCCCTGGCAGATCCCTCAAAAGGAATTCTTTTGGATCCCTGAAAGGAGGCCTTAGAGAGGACCCAATATGGGAATCTCCGAAAATTAGGGGTACCTTATTTGGGGTCCTTATAATAACGATCCTATTATTTGGGGTACTATATTACGGTCCCCTATTTTCGGAAACTCCCATATACTCTTCTGGCTCTTGGGTCAGGGTATGCAAGGCTTCGGGGCTCTTTGGATCCCAGAGGTTACAACTTTCTCAGGCTGAAGAACAGCAGATTAAGGTTACAGCCCTACTTGGAGGATCATGGGACTTAGTAAGTAAGGTTATAAGTACCCTAATTGGGGTTATAAGTAATTATAACTACAGTTACCCTATTTATAACCCCAATTACTAAGTCCCATGATCCTTCAAGTAAGTCCTAGAACCACACTTGAACAGCGAAAGCACCACAACCCAACTTAAAAAAAAACGCAACGGCCATCAATTGTGGATTCCTTCACATTTTTTCGCGGGGAATCTTCCAGGTCTATGTGCGCACCATCTACTGCAACTTCGCCGAGCTCAAGGGGGATGACATGAAGGAGGCAGGTTCGGGGTCTACGGCTCACTAAAGTAAAAGCCAGAAAGTTGGAATATTATTATCCTAACCCTTCTATGGTAAATTATAGGGTATCCTACCCTGAAACCATATTCCTCTCTGTACAAACTCTCGACGATTGGTCATTACAATTTGACTCGATGCTTAAACGCATTGATGATATCGTCTCTAAACTCAGTTAGGAAGTCAGCTCAAAGATAGCTGAAAGTTTAACGGATGCACAAGTCATCTCCAGCTTCATTCGCACCAGACTCATGTCCGCACCACCCTGAAACCATATTCCAACTTTCTGGAGTTCCCTGTAAGCCCTACTTGAAGCCTACTTGCTAAGCCCCCTGATCCTGTAAGTAGTGCGTGAGACCTCCTATTTATGGCGAAATCTCAAGGTGTAGGGTTTAGGGTTGAAGGCTTTGCGTTTAGTGGTCTTCGGGTTCAAACTTTCGGGCTGCGCCCCGTACCCTAAGCTTGAAAGCGATGAAGATTTACTAATAATATTCCTGTGTGGTCCTGATCTGCGTATGCTGTCACATATCCCAAAACTGTATTCTAATACATAAGGCCGCTTTTTTTCTGACTCCGTAGGCGGAATCCTACGCGCAATGGATGTTCGGATGTTTGCGTGTGACACTTGTTCTAAGTCACATAGGCATAGCAGCTAATGTGCGGGTCGGAATGATTCGCAGAACTACACCCTTATAGTCCCTAATATGTCCCTCGGAACATTTACCCTGAAGCCTGACTCTAATCCTTAAGGCCGCTATTATATCCTAAACCCTAAGCCCCTAAGCCTTGCAGAAATCCTGCGAGCCTGAACCTCAAACTCAAACCCCTAGATCCCTCGACCTCTAGTATAGGGGCGTTGATAAATCCTATACTGTTCTGGGGGTTCCTTATTATGCTTATATACCCCAAAGCACAGCATCATCAGCTGTACTCGCCTCCGACTTCTGTCCACATGCACCCCAAAACCCAAATCCAATTGTTGAGGCCCCTGTAATAAGCCCCCATCATACCCGTTATAGTACTCCTTATAGACCCCTTTGAAAGGACCCCTTCAAAGAAAACCTATTCTAACTGTTCAGGCCCCTACACTAGTCCATAAGAGACCCCCGCCCCAAGGCCCAAGGCCTTGCATCCAAGATTGCAGGAGTGGGCAAAGCAATGCGAGAAAGCTCGAAAGAAAGGCCGGGGTTAGGCTTTCAGGGTTTAGGGTTCAAGTTTAGGCTTGAGGCCTATAGGCACTAGGTTCAGGGTTTACTTGGAGGGTCGGGGGACTTAGTAAGTAGGTAGTAAGTAGACTTAAAAGTACCCTAGGGACCCTAATCGGGGTTATGGTACTTATAAATCCTTAAAATAACCCGTTACTAAGTGTTTGGACCCTCCAAGTAGGGTGTCTCATCAGGATTCCGAGTCAGGGACCCGCAGAATTAGGGTTCAGGGTTTAGGGGTCCAGGGTTTATGGCCAAACCCTAATCCCAACATGCGAAAGTTCAGGGTTTGGGGGGGTTTAGGGGTCCAGGGTTTATGGCTAAATCCTAAACCCTAAATCCGAAAGTTTAGGGTTTGGGGTATAGGGTTTACCTTAACCCGGAATGACCTACCTTTTTAGGGACGTACATAAGGAAATGATAATAAGGAACCCTAAAACAAGTAGGTTATTCAGGGTGAAGGTAGCCATAGCCCACTTCCGTAGGTAGAGACCCCGCTACAGATTCAACAGGCAGGGATGCTTGGGGTCTTCGCGTTATGATTCCCCGGTTTTCGGACCGGGCCTTCATAGTAAGGCTCCGACTACGAAATATAGGGGCCTAAACTTTTACCTTTACTATTTTTGGGGGTTCCTTATTGCAATTATAGTATACTGGGCCCCCAAGACCCTATTCTAACTGTTAAGGCCTATATTAGTGCAACTGCCACTGGTCACACGGGGCTTTGCCTACTGTCAAACTGTGGGATGCCTGCGCGTAGAAGGGGTTTGGGTTCTTTTAGGGTTTGAGTTCAACGCGAAGGACGAGAACGTTTTTCACTTTGCGATGCGATGTCAGATCTAGGATGTCGCCGAAGCCCCAGCGCAGAGGCCTTAATATTTCGCGATATATGTTTCGTCATGGGTTTTCAAAGAACTACCCCGAACCCGAGTCCGATGGGAGTATTCGCATTTCTACACTGAAGCCCAGCGTCGCTTCCAGGTCCGACTCACTCCATGTAGTCGCTGCTTTACAGAGATGCGTTCCCTGCGGGGTCAGCCCAGTTTCGTGATAATGGCGGATCTTTTGACGACCGGTTCTGCTCTTAGCCATTTGAGCACTGAGGCAATCAAGTATTTCGTGCAAGCTGGCTTGGGCCAGATGGGGCGCCACCAACGGGGTCCAAAACGAGCCCCGTGCTGCCGCGAGCAACGTCTATGATCCAGACGAGATTCCCGATCAGTTTGACTTCGTGCCGAGAGTTCCATTCAAATACCTCTGGAAATAATGCTATACTATAAGAATACTACACTATAATAATACTATACTATAATATGCTATAAGGCCCCACCCTGCCTCAGACAGTCTGAGAAGCTGCCCACACCTATGCCGAAGCTGCCTCCGCCACACCCCAAAGCCTAGGCTCAAACATGCTAAACCAAAGTCACCGAGCATCCATGCACCATCGACCGAGGCCCCTTTCGAAAGCCTTACCCCAACACCTTACAGCCAACGCCCCCCAGGATTTAAGATTCTGAAGCTTAGCTTTTGCTCGGTCAAGTGTGTTTAAGGGCTTTATAGCTCTTCGTTCGATAGGAAGGATTTTATACGGGTTCCGATTCCGGACGGTTCTGTAAAGGTCGGTATGGTTTTTGGGGTGGTATTCAGCAAACCCCAACAACTCCAAAGTAGGGCTGGCTCGGGCTTTCAAGGTTTCGGGCCATGGGTTCGGGCTCGCAAGTGCAGTTCCCCAGTCGCGAGTTTAGGTAGGCCGTAGAACCCCGACCGAAACCCTAAACTCAAGAAATACGGTTGATTATATAAATCCTGCATTACCTCAAGGACCCCAAACTATGGAAATTATTGTACATTCCTTATTGTGGGTCATGCAAGGTTTATATCATCAACCGTATCGGTAATTTAGGACCCTATTTTCACAGCCAGAGTTATCAGTGGGTGACAGGTTCTCCTAAGCCCTAGAGAATACTTCTTCTTGAGCAAGGACACGCTTAGCATAGCCCTTTGCGGGTACTTGCATAGCCCTTTGAGGGTACTTACAACCCTACTTATTAGCTACTGGTGACGTCCTTATAGAACCTTCGTAGATCCCTGTAAGGAGCCCCAACGACCCCTTTAAAGGTACCCCTAATTTTCGGAGGTTTGAAATACCCGCAGCGGAAGTGGTACTTCGCTTGGTATGGCAGCAAGAACGCCTCCGCCTCGGAAGGCTCTTTTTGTTCAGGGTTTAGGGTTTAGGGCTTAGGATTTGGGGTTTAGGGTTTAGGGTTTAGGGTTTACGGTTTAGGGTTTAGGGCTTAGGGTTTAGGGTTTAGGGTTGAGGGTTTAGGGCTTAGGATTTGGGGTGCCGTAGGGCGTGGGGTTGAGGACTGAACATGACTTGAGGTTTCAGGGCTTTAGATAGGAGTTTAGGGTGTTCTAGGCGTGTTGGGCTGGGTGGGCTTCGGATTGAAGGTTTCAGGTTTAGGGAGTACCAGAACGCACAAACCCTCATCCCAAACCCTAAACCCACCCTACACCCTAAACCACCCTAAACCCTGAACCCTAAACCCTAAACCTTTGTCCCTAAACCCATCCGGGGCTCGTCACCAAGGAGGCTACGGATCCAGAGAAGTGGCACCACCCGGATGGCCGACTGGACCCGTTGGATGGTCTTGTGTAAGGGTTCCATTGACTATACTATAATATGCTATGCTATGCTATAACATACTACAATATAAAATAACATGCTATACTATACGATAGTCTATTGTAATATACGACAGCATACTTTTATATACGATACGATCGCAGACTGTATTAAGCTAGATGATGCTCTGATTGAAATGGTTTGGGGCTTGGGACGTTGTGGCGTGTTTAACGGATGTGGTGTCAGTAGGTAAGGGGAGCTGTTGAACTTCCAGTCATTGTTGTGTGTGCTCGCTCGTTCATATCATGACGTGGTCGGGCCTGTGTCGGGTTGAGTTCTTTTAGGCTATATGTGGGGTTCTAGTTTTGCTATATATATATATATATATATATATATATATATATATGCATATAGGACTCATGCATGATGCATAGTTACATGGTCTATACAACGTTAGTTTGCGTGTGATTTTAGGTTTTTTGCTCGGGTTGGCGAGCGCCGTAAACCCTAAACCCTGAAACCTAATGTTGCAGGTCTCATGAATTTGGTTGGGTCGCTGGCGTTTCGGGTTCGTCACGGCAGGGCTTTTCGGTTTGAGGCTTTGGCTAGAAGGAACTTGCAGATGCCTATGACCCCTAAACCGTAAACCCTGAAGCAACGGCCGATAGAAACTTAGCCTTTATAGCAGAATCCTCCGGTTGATGATGTAAATCCTGCATTACCTTAAGGACCCTAAACTATTGGAGTTATGGTATTTTCCTTATTATGGGTAATGCTGGATTTATGTCATCAGCCGTCCAGCTCAGGTTTAGGTGTTAACTAGAAGGCTTTAGGTTACTCATTGTATTGTTGCACTATTGGATTATGCTTTCCTCTTTTCAAAGGGGGTCTTCTTACCAACAACATAGTCTCAGCTTGCCCTCCAGCGTTAGAGTGTCGTGCCAAACCCTGTGGTTTTTGCGAGACCGAGGCCGTAAACTTTCGGCGCTACAGACCCTAGCCCTGAATCCAGAGAGCGGTGAAATACTTAGTAAGAACCGCTGTCTTGGAATGCGTTTATGGCTAATGTAGGAACCTGATGATAAGAAACCTTGGGCCTTTATGAGGGTTCCTTATATGAACCCACCTATTTTGGGGTTATAGGCACAGGGTTTCTGAATCAGGTTCCTACATCAAGAACCGCTTTCTTGGAATGCGTTTATGGCTGTGGTAGACCTTGCCCGGTTCTTTCGGGGCCCAGGTTTAGATCCCTTCTTGAGCCTTTTTTGTAAATCCCGCCTAAACCCTAAGCACAACAAGCCAAGCCCTGCACCCAATAGCCCTGGACCCCTCAGCCTACGGTTCAGGTTTTCGGGCGCCGAAATTTTTCTTTGGGTTTAGGGTTTAGGCTTTAGGGTTTAAGGTTTAGGGTTTAGGGTTTAGGAATTCGGGTTTAGGGTTTAGGAGTTCGGGTTTAGGAATTAGGGTTTAGGGTGGGCTGAGCCCCAATCCACCAGTTATTCCTCACAGGGGAGTTTCGGAAACTATCGGGTTCCAGGACGCCGCAAAAGGGCACTCGAACGTCAAGAACCCATAAGGGAGTTTCCGAAAATATGGGACCCTAATCTAGTACCCTAAGTGGTAGGACCCTTATTATAAGGAAGGTACCCCCTAACGGAAACTCCCATAAGACTCGTCAAGACCCTTGTGACATGCAAATCGCAACCCTTAAGCCCCTCTCAAATCTCCAAGTTTAAGGAGCCCCCTTAGTGAACAGAACCCAGAAAAGCGCTGAACTCGTAACTTCAAGAATCCCTAGTACACAGAGACCACTGAAAAGCCTAAACCTCAAACAGAACCCTAACCCCTAAACCCTAAACCTCAAATTGAGGCTTCTTTCCCCTCGCCACGATGACAGCCGTGCACCGATCGCCCGACAGACAGGAGCCTTAATCCGGGCAGTTTTTGCCCATTCTGGTTTCTTCTGGCTCCTTAAACTAAAGATCCCTGTATACGAGAATGCGTGACCCTTCATCGGTCCCCCGAACCCAGCTATCTCATGGGCTCCGCAGATGGGATTCAGGTAGCTGGTGGATTCCCGAAGTGAGGTCTTACAATGTGGAATATATTGGACCCTTAATCCCATGTACCTTCATCCTCCGTTTTCAGCCCCCCTGATTCTCAGATGGTTTCAACCCCAGGCACTTCCAACTAATCTCTCGAGTGATGCAGCTATGCTGCATTGCAGCATGTTGTAGGGTTGAGGGCAGCAGTGGGTTCCGATTTAGCTCTGGGGCTTCACCCGTGTGCACAACCTGTGCCGGAATCTGGAAATCGAAGGTTGCAATGCGTATGACATCATAGGCCCGCACTACTAAACTTGGGGTCTATCTGAAAAACTAATGATTGCAATGCCCAAACTACCAAACTTGGGGGTATATTGCACTCTAAGTCCTGGGAAAAGGAAGACATTACTAAAATTGGGGTATTTTGCGCTGTAAGTCCTGGAAAGAGGAAGACATTGCTAAACTTGGGGGTACATAGCCCTGTAACCCTAAACCCACCTACGTAGACAGGACCAGTTCCTCGTCAAGCATCTCGGACTGCACCAACTAGTGTAGGAACGACGACAAGACCCGCCTGTAAGGGTTTAGGGTTCAGGAACGACGGTAAGACTAGGGAAGCAGGATTGAAGTTTAAGGTTGAGGGTTCAGGGAGTAGGGTTTGAGGTTTAGGGTTTGGGGTTTAAGGTTGAGGGTTCAGGGATTAGGGCTGCGAGTTTAGAGTTTAGGCTTTAGCAGCTGGTAACTAGGTTGTTGGCAAGCTCCTGGTCAGTTGGGAGTTTCCGAAAATAGGGGACCCTAATATAGCACCCTAAATAGTAGGATCCTTATTATAAGGACGCCAAAAAAAGGTACCCCGAATTTTCGGAAACTCCCAGTTAGTGGCTCGTGGGATTCAGCCGAGGGGGCTTTGTTCTTGTATCAGTTGTTTGCCAGAGACTCCAAACCTCCTGGTCAAGGACTGCACTGTGATGGTCCCAATATGCTAAGAATTAAAGCAACATATGTACATCTATATGTACATATATATATATATATGTATACACACACACATATTTATGTATATGCCCACACACAAATGCACACATACATACATACATACATACTCACATACATACATCATACATACATACATACATACATACATACATACATACATACATACATACGTACATACATACACACACACATATATATATATACATACATACATACATACGTACATACATACATACATACATACATGCATGCATACATACATCATATATATATATATATATATATATATTCATACATATACACACACACACACACACCATCCAAAATACCACAGTCCATGTGGTAAAGACTTTGTATAGCTACAGTTTCGCAACGGTTTGCTGCATTCTTTTTCAGGTTTGTTCTGTTCTCTGTCTGTTAGAGCCGTGCTTTGATTGTAGGGTGTCCGAAACTGTAGCCCGAAGCCCAACACCCTAAACCCTAAACCCTGAACCCCAATTCTCTCAGAGTTCGCCGGGCTTTTTGGTCAACGATTTGGGGCCATCACACATGGTTCTCTGCCTCGTGCTTGGAGGGTCGGGGGATTTAGTAAGTAGGTAGTAAGTTGACTTATAAGTACCCTAAAAGGACCCCGAATTGGGGTTACGGTACTTATAAGTCCCTAAAATAGCCGTCAGGGTTGCAAAAAGCGAAGCTCGGCAGTGCATAGAGACTGCCATCACACATTTTCCATGGGAGAAGGCTCAATGAGATTGTTCGCAGTATTAGACCACTGTATACGCCGAAATTTTGTTCTAATTATTAAGGCCCGGGTAGCAAGGTCTGTCTTCGTGGTCTATCTTCGTTGCGTCGCAGCCGCAGGACAGCATATAGCGCCAGCCAAAATGTAAACCGCCAGTTGGCCCTGCATGTAGAATTGCCTCCCACAGCCATAGCCATATAAGGATCCTTAAATCTCGACGCGCTGGGTATGAACAACAGATAGCGCCAGCCAAGCTGCAAAACGCTGAAGTCCAAGCCGTTGGCCCTTCATGTAAAATTGCCTCCCGCAGCTATAGCTGAATCTCGATGTGCCGGGTATTGCAGAACGAAGCATTCAATGTAGGGTTCTGCCAGGGACATACCCACAACGGACTGAAGTGCTTGTCGGATATTACCATGTGTCGTAGTGCTTCTTGCGACGTCCAGCTAGTTCATCATATCCAATCTCACGTCAGCTAGGCAGAATGCATTCTCGCACATCGCACAAGTCTAACACATGGGGTGTCCTCGCCGGCGTCAACACGTTTTTGTTCCTCCCCTGCATCCACGACATGTTTCGTTTGCTTGACTAATTGCACGCTGTCGCAAGTTGCCTACGGACCAGGTGCCCGAATGGACTTGATTTTTGAATGTGCTGGAGGTCATGACTCCAAATCGTTAGCAGTCGTCACTTCGGTATTTGCGAAGTTGATTGTCAGTTCTCACTTGACGACACTTGCTGGACATCTCAGAAGCTAGGCGGGTCGTCTTTGTGTGCGAGTTGTCAGGTTTTTTCTTGGTTTACTAAGTGTGACAGATGCAACATGTCAATGTAGGCGCATGGGCAGACTTGCGGGCATCCTTGCCCCCAGCATATAGAAGGCTGCCCTATGATTTGCCCGGTTTGATGCCAGCGTTCTTCATAGCTCACCCAGTGCACAATGTCTCTTGCTTAATTACAATGTGTTTCCATGTTGACGTAGTGAAGCGCACAAACATTTTGCGCGAAGATGCTAACAGCCTCTGGCTTTAAGCAGCGCTTTGCGGCAACTTCAGCATGGAAGTACGCGGCCAGTTTCTTCCGGCGGGTTCTTTGGCAGTGTGTTGCAATTTTGCAGCAAGTCGGACGTCTAGACCTGATTATTTTGCTTCGATCCGGGCACGCTTCTACAATGTTCGCCTTGCGGCTGCAAGATTCTACAAAAGCATGTGCGGCGGCTTGCCCCAACGTCTGAGGGTTCAAAAGTCGTGAGGACGTATGGCTGAGGGGCTTGGTGGTGTGAGCGCAGAGGCTCAAACTCCTAACACGTTTGGATTCCCAAGCTTCAGACCCTGGACCTTAAGCCAGCAATGTGCGCTCGAAGCCTTAATTCCTGAAACACTAACTAAACCCGAACAATTGAAAATGCTTTGCAAGCTCAGGTACACTGCCGGCGCCAAGGAGACACTGGTCTACCGCCGTGAGCAGGGAAAGGTGGCTCAGGGTTTCGGACACAGCAATGTATTCCCAAACCTTAACCCACAAAGTTCACAGTTTAGGAGAACGGTTTGGGGTTGCGATTGTATGGCGATGGTTATGGCAGCACAGGGTTGTCGGCAACATGCAGGTTTCTCGCGTTCAGAGTTTCACGTTTCATTTTTTGCAGGTCCGCGTTGGCTTTTACCGGATCAATGGGAATTGAATTTCTTGGGTCTGCAAGACTTCGGGTTCAGTGCTTTGGGATTGCCAGCCCTAACCTCCCGAAATAGGAGGCTGTCTGCTGATGCTGTTTCGAATTCATGATCCGCCAAGGAAGTGCGCGACGCCTCAATGCAAGAAACAACTTTCATGAAATGGAGCAACCTTTCTAGGCTTCAGGTTTTGGGGACCGGCATGAAGAACAGCCGTCCGCTGCCAACAAGATCGCGAGTTGAGGTTGCCGTGATTGATGTTGTCGTGTGGATGGCTGTGATGAACCCGAAGCTCTGCCCCGTCAGTAGTTCCTAAGTTAGGACGGCCTCAGGACTTGCAAGTCCGTCGATAGTGCTCCATGGAACGCAATATACTGACAATAGTAGTAAGAAGAACGCTAGATCCTGCAAGACCAACAGACCGGTTGCCACAGTGCATTCATGGTTGAGGTTTCATTGCCTTGAGAAGCCTTGATGAAACTACATTCTCCCACCTCAAAAAATATCTACGTCTACGCCCCAAACTTAACTCTCAACTCGGCACCCCTCGCCCCTAAACCTATACCCTAAACCCCTAAACGCTAAACGCTAAACCCTAAACCCCTAAACCCTAAACCCTAAGCCCTAAACCCTAAACCCTAAACCTATACCCTCAACCCCTTAAACACCAAAAAGACAAGAGGCACTGGATGCGTGGGTCGAAGGCCTCGATCTCGCCAACCAAGAGCTACGCGGCTGCACAGGGGGTTTAGGGGTTTAGGGGTTTAGGGGGTTTTGGGGGTTAGGTGTTTAGGGGTTCAGGGGTTTGTGGTTTAGGGTTTAAGGTTTAGGGGTTCGGGGTTTTGGGGTTTGGGGTTTAGGGGTTTGCGGTTGAGGGTGTCGGTTTAGGGTTTGAGGCAGTGCGGCTTTGGCGTTTTAGGTAGATGGTATCGGGCTTGGGGGCCGTGTGTTCTCGGAGGTTGTAAGTCGTTTGGGGGCTTGGGAGACGTCCAGTTTACGACTGGGATTTCGGACTGTGTCTTGATAGGTTGAAATATGGGACTTTCCGAAAATTAGGGGTACCTTATTGGGGGTCCTTATAATAAGGATCCTACTATTTAGGGTACTATATCAGGGTACCCGGTTTTCGGAAACTCCCATATGGCTTCATGTCTGCGTCCCCCAAGCCTTCAAGTAGGCTCTCAGAGAAAGGGCAACAGGGACCTGCAGGTATTGGATGTTTTAGGCCATAAATCTTAAACCCTACTGGAGGATCATTAGACTTAGCAAGTATGGTTACAAGTACCGTCATTGGGGTTAAGAGTAACTATTATAGCTAAGGCTATAATTACCTGACTTGTGACCCTAGTTACTCGTCCTCTATCTTACCTTTGGTTAGTAGGGAATGGAAGAATGGTGGTAATAGTAGTGATAATTGTACCCCATTCCTCCATTCCCTACTAGCCAAAGGTAAGCCAAGTACAGTTTGGAGTTAAGGGTTCAATGGCTCACGGGCTTCGCGTTGTGGGCCTTGCATCATGAGCTTTGGATCCGCCCCTGGGTCTGTTAATGCCATCGTGTTCGGATTTAGGGTTCAGGGTTTAGAGCTCAGGGTTTCAGGGTTTAGGGTTTTAGGCTTTTTGGCTTTTTGGGTTTTTGGTTTTTTTGGTTTTAGGGTTTTAGGCGTTTTGGGTTTTAGGGTTTTAGGGTTTTTAGGGTTTAGGGTTTAGGGCCCTCTCCAATGTTGTCAGCTGAGGATCCGCGAGAACATGAAGGAGGAGAAGGAGAAGGAGGAAATGGAGGAGAAGGAAAAGGCCAAAGCGAAGATGATGCATGGACAGTGGATGCAGAAGCATCTCAGCTGCAAACTGCGACTCTAAAGTAAGCCCCGAAACCCTTCATTCAGGAAAATCTTCAGTACGGAGCCCTGTCGAAATCCTAACAAGCGGGCCTTAAATCTTAAACCTGAAATCCCGAAAGCACCAGCCGCAAACCCACAGTCCCACAAGCCTAAACCACTGCTGGGTCCGAAACCTTTCAAGCCTCAAACCTTAGATGAACCCTAAACCTAAACCCTTACTGGAACCCAAAGGAACCCTGCATAATACTATATAGTAGATACTTAGGACCATAAGAATATCCTGGGCGCAGTTTAAGGTTTAATAGTT